GGGCAAGCTAAGCCACTCAGTTGAACAGCCAACCCTAAAAAGCAAGCCACACGCCCTGTACGAGCACTTTTTGTTGGAGCTTCGAGATGGAGGTATCCAGTGGGCAAGGTGCGGATGAGCTGCACATTCTTCGGTTTCGAGGGTCACACTACCTTGTTATACTAGATTACGTCATATTATACTAGATGATAGAAGATTAGAAGATATTATATGCTATTACATTACTTTACAGATCAGAAATGAATGAAGAAATCATGCAGGAGCCATGTCAGCAGCCGTCTCTAAGAGACGTCGCTTGGAATGCATTTAGCCTGCTCAAGTTGTCTTCCAGCAGCAAGGTAATCTTGCAGGTTGTGATTACTGGCAGATGGCCCATGCAGTCACATGGCCACCCCCTCTGCCAGAGAGTCTCCGATCAGTACCCTTCATTCGACTTCCTTTGAAACCTTCATCCTCCCTCAATTCCAGACCCCGTTCATCACCTATCCCCGTATAACCATAGCTTCCATCTCATTGTCCATTGGATTCTCCATTGTTGGGGTACGATATCCCTACACTCATAAACACCAAAAGGCAGTTTCCATTGTCTTTGGAAAGTGTTCCCCTATATAAACCCAATACACTACAGTAGCTTCCATTTTCTTTTCCATTATCCCCATATTCCTGAGCTGATGAGTATTTCGCGAATGCTAAGAGCATAACTGAAGTGACCCAGGCTTTATGCTGGCGATGATTTTGGCAAGGCCAGCTCTAGCAGAGGAGAAGTCGAAGAGTGCAAGAAGAAGATGGAAATTACCTTGGGGTTTCTATGGGGTTATATGAGCTATAGCCTAAACTCCTTAAAGAGGGTGCTATAGAGGATTATATAGGGAGTATTAATTATGGGTGTTATTAAGGGGGATACTACGAGTTGAGACTATAGCTCCTTTGTGGATATGTGGGGAGTATAGCGGGAAAGTGCTTCAGTATGGTGAGCTGTTCTTCGTAGGATACACGCGCCTGACAGCAAACACGCGTTCCGAGTTCAACTGTGATGACGCCAATGCAAGACGAGCGTTTCCAACATCAGCAGGCATACATATATACAGGCCTAGGAGATTTCCGAAAATGCGGAAGCCCATGAGTAGGCGTTGAGAAGGAGTATAATATTTTGGGACGGCCATTTTGGCGGACTACTCAGATCCTTGAAAGCCAGCCTGCAAAAATGAGCCCGGCTTATGTGAGGAATGTTGAATACTGTTTTGGTAGTTCGAGTTTGTCTACAATTTGGATCAACTTCCACCGGAATTACAGGTTTAAAGGCGTTCTTGAATCTGTTTCAAGTTGCTGGAAATTGCAAACTAACGACGAGCCTTCCAGATCCTCTACACCACAGCATGGACCCCACGCGCACCAACGCAACAAGGATCAGATGCCGTCAATTAGGTGACTAAACGACAATGCCGTCCCCTTATAACAAACCTTATGCACCCTGCTCATGTGTAATGGTACTACCAAGAAACCCGCGGCTTTCAAGCGACGAACCCATTGCATCCGAAAAAGACCTTTGTACTCGCACCAGAATTCCCCTGGGGGCAGCAGCTTTCGACAGTGTGAGTTCATCACCGCTCTCAAAAAATACCCCTCTAGAGAGGTTATGCGCTCCATCGGGCATATCCATGATTACAAGGTGGGTTTGAGAATAAGGGTAGGGGATTGTCATAGCGACATTAATGAAGACCTCTACTCTAATTGATAAACCCCCTCGCCTTAATGGAGTTTATGAAAGAGATCCGAACATTAAGGCCCTTAAAAGGAGGAGGGTTATTAATCACGGATCTACAGTATCCCAATTGTGGCCAAAGGTCCCTGAGTGCTGCCGGCATTGGTTGCTTGATCAGCGCGTCTGATTTGAAATGGCTTCAGAGCTATGCATGGTTTAGGGCCCCTGGCGGTATGCCGCAAGAAGCATATACCTCAGATATGAGCAAACCTAAAGAACCCAGCGAACCTTCATTTGTTTTTGGGAGTCAGTTGGCTTGTGCGTCCGCAAACAGGCAGCTGCTGACCCTGCAATCACGTCTTTCCTGCAGCCCTCTTTTGCACCCTCTCTAAAGCCTGAGCAGGACCTCTTCCCACGTCGAAAATGGTAGTTCCCCAAATAGAGGAAATAGAGGGACCCGAATGTAGACCCTTATCTACTATAATCCTTATTATGGGAACCCCCAACAGAGTACCCCAAGTTTTGGGAAACCCCCAATCTGCACTGCTAAAGAGAAGGCTCGTGAGGATATATGCTTCCCTCGATAGAACTGCGAGGCAACATTGGGCAGCATCGGGCTCCGGAACGCTGAAACATAAAATTGCCACTCTCAGACAAAATTACGAGAACACCCCAACGGGAGCTTCATACAGCAAGGCTTCGATCGGTTTGCTCTACCGCCTCACTCGGCAGCAGCTTGAGAGAGAACTGAGCCAGGCACTTCGGCAACTTACACATGTTGAGCGTAGATTGGATGGGGTCAAGATGCGGATGCTTAAATAAGGCCATGGTTCTTGCACGGCCAACCTTACCCTGAATGGGAGTGGCGGCCATCTACGAGTCCTATCTTTCAAAAGGTTTGTTTGCAAAGGTTCATCGATTGCGATTGGGCTTGGTAGACGGGAGCAAGAATGGTACGGAAAGCGTGCTGCTGGAGATCCAGATGTCTCCTCAGAGAAATCGTGAGCTTCAAGTGGGACATTTCCCAAGAAAAGCCTACTGGCTCGGGGTTCAGCAGACCTGTTCGAGAGCGGGCCCTTTATCCTGGGATCCTGATACACCTTTTGGACACCTGGGTCCATACTTAGGGCCCCAGCACTTGACGGCTCAACACGCGCAGGGCAAGCTCAAGGCAAAGGACCAGAGCCTGGCTGACGGAGAAGAAGGCCAACTCATGAAAATCCTATTCATGCCAAACCCTACATATCCCTACATAATGCACCTTCTCAGCCCTACATAATCTAAACCCCATATAATCTTATTAGAGTAGTTTCCATGTTCTTTTCCATTATCCGTAAATTCAACCCCAATATATTCCCTATATAACCCCTAATCTAAAATGCTTTGGAAGAGGCTTTCATTTGGGGTTGCCATGGCCGAGCTCGAGTTTCTCAAAGGTGTGGGTACCTTCCTTGCTTAAAGTAAGGGCATATTGTTCTCTATAGTAGCTTCCATTTTATGTTCCATTATTCCTATATAACCCCTATATACACCCCTATTATACTATAGTAGTTTCCATTTCATTTTCCATTTTCTTTTCCATTTGATTCTCCATTATAGGGCCCAACCTTGAGAAGTACCTGGCTATGAGCTGCCTTGCAGCAACACAAATAAGCAGACTATATATTGGGCATATTGGGGGGTATATAGGGATAATGGAAAAGAAAATGGAAACTATAGGGATTATATAGGGGTCATATAGGGATTATATAAGGGGACAGGACTAAGAACTGTAAGAAGGGGCAAGGACGACAATGAAGGCACCAGCCAGAGGCAGCTGGCAACAAAAGCAACATTCGTCGGGTCGCTGCTAGCAAATCTCAAGTGACAGCGACAGCAACAATAGCAGAGGCGGCGGCAGCAGCAGCAGCAGCGACAGCAGCAGCAATAACAGCATCAACTCCTGCCACTGCTGCGATCGTGGTTACTGTTATCATAGTCATGGCATGTCATGGCGATCAGTACTCGTGATCATGCCAAACACAAGAAGTGGAGCGGAGGCTTGGAGGCTCTCGTGCACCAACGCGTTCAGCGGATCTCAACCGAGCTTCGCTTGCACTTGCTGCGTGTGTGCGTCGGCTGCCTCTGCTGGCGTTTACGATGGTGCTTCTAACGCCGCAACAGCAGCGGAAGGGAGCATGGGCAGATGATGCAATTAGGGAGCCAACATGAGCTTCCATCCTGCAGGACTGGAAAGTGCAGTAGGCGGATGCTTTTCCAATCAGCTGGCCGTTTTTTGGTCGTCCTTGAGAGGCCAGCTTGAGAACTGCTTAGAGTTAGAGGTCAGGCTGGGCCCTTTTCTTGAAGCCAAGACATTCAGGTTGGTGAAGTCCGGGTACTGGGCACGTCCGATGTTTGCACATTCCCTTTGCACCTGCCTGTGTCGAAGGCACACCTTTGAGGCAAGTTAAGCGATGTGGCCCAGCCAAGGATATTGGCACGCTTTCCACTCTTTTGGACTTTTTTCTGGCTCCGATCGTCGGGCGCTTCATGGACCGGACAATTTCTTGCATCTTTGCACCTTCGTGGTAGGCCTACATGAGCTACATCTTAGCCCATCCGTTTCTGGTTGCAATATCAGAACAAAGAAGCAGCACTTTGTTAAACTGCTGCCAGCTTTTGTGCTCGATCTCCCACAGAAAGTTGTAAGGACAGTTTCGCCTGCACTGCCCCTGAAGTTTGAAGTTTGGGATCTTGAAGCTTTGGCCCGCGCTCACATTTTGCTCTCGACCTTCAGACCTGGTCAAGGTTGTTCGGAATGCAGAAAGCTCTTCAATCCCAAAGGCACTTAGAGACACCTTGGAAAGCTGATGCTGTCTCAGTTTCCAAAGAAGTTAACTAGCAGAGTTGAAAGTAGCCACTTGAAAGAGTTCCTCTTTCATCCCTGCGTAGAGCCCCGAAGGCTTAGTAGGAGAACCCCGGTCCGACATGTAGAGGTCATACCCAAAGCTATCAGCCCTGAAGGATGCATTTGGGCGCATTCCGACCATGTTGCTAGGCATGGGAAGTTCTGCTGTGGCTTGACTAAACAGCCGGGGCTTGGGGCTGCAGGGTTAAGGCTGTGGTGCCTGCATCTGGCGATTGTGCAAGCCCAAAAAATGGCTTTAAAAAGAAGATGGACCGTAAGTTTGGTACAACCACTGCGCAAGGCTCCGCACATAGCTGAATGCAACAAAGGCTGACATTCTTTGCATGACAGATCATTGCGTGCTCTTCCAGAATTCACGCAGCAAACGTCCACCCATGCTTCTCTCAGGTAATGCGCCTCTCAGTGGCGACAGTGCCATCTCTCAGGCCCAGCAATCCTGTACCCACAGGGATGCAACCCATTGACCCACACAGATCCCTACATCATTATGAACCCTAAACCCCCCAAGCCCAGCAACCCTTACAAGAACAGCTGGGAGTTTATCCAGAACTTGTGGGGTTCTGGTAGTCTGTGCAAAGGCTCGTGCCATGGCGGCATGCGGATTTTTATCGGGGTCAAAGTTTGGGAGGTGGCTTCATGGATGACATAGACTCATGCAACTGCCACCGAGAAACTGCAAAAGAAATCAGGGTAATAGCCATAGTAGTAATCAACATATGTACACTAGTAACAACAGTAGCATTAGTATTAAGACTTCTCCTGTGGAAGGCTCTACATCTTCTACCGGGTCATTGTGGCAATCACTGCAAATGCCTTTTTTGGCGCCAGCTCGGCGAGTATCAGCGATGTGCGGGCCTTGTCTTCGTTGCTGTCATTTTTAGGGTTAGCCGCATTTTACAGGGGCAAGGGTGTAATGGAGAATCTTAGGTTCAAGGGCAGTAAGGCCTGTGCGGGTCTCGGGCTGAAAGTGCTGCATCTTCAAATCACTTGGAGATCTTGGAGAAGTAGGCCCTTCATCCCAACCCTGGGTCTTACCTAGGGTTGGGAAAGGGACTAAATAGAGGTTATGCAAGGACCATATAGAGTAACATAGGGGTAAGATGGGGTAAAGTGTCTTTGTGAACCTTTCCACCCTATCTCCCTCCCTGCTTCCCTCTCTGTCTGTGTCTGGGACGCAAACCCTGACAAAGTAATAATGAGTGCGAGGGAAAAAACAATAAGTGCTCCTACTAGGTGCATTACACACCTCAGTAGAAGCCATTCAAAACGCCGCTTTCGGACCTCAGCTTCTTAGATCGAATGCATCGTAACCTCTGGGCTATCCCCTCGCAATGAACGTCAAACTCCCCGCTCGAATCCGCGGCAAAGACAAACACCAGCTTGACCTATCTGCACACCGACGCAGATCCATGACAGCTGGGCAAAGATATAGGTGGTACGGGAAAATGTTGAAAAATGACGACAGACATCAAGGAAGAGGGCCGAAGGCTTTTCCAGAAGAGCTCTCCTGGGTCACATTGCCGTGGCTGTTCTTTTAGAATCTGACAGATGAGCCATAGTCTAAAGCTCCTCAAAGGGATTATATGGGACCGCTAAAGGGGCTCTCAGAAAAAATACCAAGAGTTGTTTCTACTATAGCTCTGATGGTCACCGCAAGCTCCATCCGCAAGATGGTAAACATGCACTGGAGCCAGCTCCAGCTCGAATCAGCAGAACACAATAAATCATAGGATTTATATCATGTATCCCTATACTGTAAGCCCTGCATAACCCGTAGTATCCTATATACATATATGAATATACATGTGTGTATCCCCAGACGAATAGCACAAGATGTTCCGCCACCGCCTGCGCCCTCCTAGTCCCGCAAGTGCTCCTTCAGCCTTGGTGGCCTCTGGCTGCAAGCACTGACCCATATGTGCTACAGTCTAAACTCCTTAATGGGGGTCTATATAGGGGATTATATAGGGGACTACTATAGGGGTTATTAAGGGGGATACTAGGAGTTTAGACTATAGCTCATATGTAGTAGTTTCCATTCCTATATGAGGTATAGTCTAAAATGCTCAACAGGGGTGTCATATAGGGGAGTACTATAAGGCTTATTCGGGGGGATACTAGGAGTTAAGACTCTAGCTCATATATCCCTTTTCAACCCCTACGTATGTATCCCTGTCGTGCAAGCCCTATACAGCTTAATGTGGTGTAGATGTGTGTGCATCCCCGGACTCTAACCCGTATATAACCCCGTATACAACCCCTGTACGATGCGCATGCTTCCAGGTCTTTGGCAGAGGCAGTGCGGCTTTTGCTGAGGCAACGAGCCGAGTTCAACGAAAGCCGGCTGCAGAGCGATTTGTGTCATAGGGGTCCAGGGCTGGGGGTTTAGGGTGAGGGAGCTCTGGAGCAGGGCGATTGCAGCTGCATTCCGGCAGTCGCTCAAGTCGGTGTTGAAAAGGGTTGAGACTACGGTTGAGAGTTACATATAGATGAGAATGGATGTGTTCATATATACACAGATGGGGGAGGGTTATCCTGGGATAGAAAAAGTTCAAGGTTTAGGTTGTATGAGGTTACAGAAGTGTATAGTATATGGGGGGATAAAGGACAAGAACATGGAAACTACTGTCGGGTTTAGGTTTATAAGGATACCACAATAATTGCGAAGCAAATGGAAAATGGAATGGACAGTTGGATGAGTACTGTTGGGGTGTCGTATTTCCGAAGAGAGAAATCTTCCTAAGCATGCTTGCTTCTGTGCCTTTAAATTAGAGCTTCTCGTCCATCAAAGGCTCTTTAAGTTGGGTTGGACAAACATTGACAGCACAACAGTACCAAATAAGACTAACAATAACAAAACGTAAGTGTTTGTTCTTGCCACCCGTACGTTTTGCACGTTGCAAAACCGCAAACCCAAAATATTGTTTAAGGCCTTCGGGTTACGGTACTTCTTTGGGAGAGTAATTTCCGGACAATGTTTGCCTTACTACAATTGTTGGGAAACTTCTTCTTGGGTAATCTGCGGGTGAGAGGGGATACTACCAAAAGTTTGTGTGCTACTGCAGTTACTTGGACCTGCATCTCCAGATCCTTGCATCTTCACATGTTTACACAAGCATTCACCCAAAAGTGTGTGGTTGGGGTTCATACGGGCAACGAGAAGAACAACCCGAAAGACTCTGGAGGTTTGGCAGCATCAGCCCCTACCCTGATGCTGTCGAAGCTTGTAGCGAATGTTGCCACGGACGTCTCCTGTACAACCTTTGGCAAATCTTGTAGATTTCAGACCTCGAGCACGAAAAGCATACGTAGACGGAGGATGTTCTTCTGCCAGGCACCGCGGCCGTGCCAGGAAGCACAGGTTAAACTCCATCTCGGCAGCATAAGCCCGGATACGACATGCTCAAAATTGGCGGCTTGGAGAAGAGAATCATTTTCCCGACGGCAACAATTGCAAAAATAATTTTGGAACGAGATCGATAACATGAAATGTGGCCTTGACCACGGTTTTTGCACAACCACGGTTTTTGCACATCGGCAGGTTGACCCCATGCGCGCAACACAAAAAAATCTCAAAACTCGGGGGTCAGCCATCTGGCAATAACAACAGCAGCATCAATCATGACATATTCCAACTTCAGGCTTCGCCTTGATGGCCATGCTAACCGGCACCTATGCCGGACGTTTTGTCAAGGAGCGGGCAAACTGAGATGCATTTCTGAAGGTTGCAACAAAGGGTTTAGGGGTACATAGGCATGGGTATACAGGGATATGGGATGAGGTTTCCAAAAAGTAGGGGCCCCGCCCATAGACAAAGCGATCTCTGGTTGCAGGGAATAGCATGGGCTGTTGCAGCACGCAAAGCGAACATGCAGAGCTCCTACAGTGTTGCTGGTCTGGCTGCCCATACGCTTCCCGATCCAACATTCCATACTTGAGCAAACTATAACAACCTGGCCCGACCTCACCCAAATGGTTATTCATACCCAAAAATGAATCCAAATCGGCTTTTGTTCAGTTCTGAAGCTCCTTTAGTCCGGGAGATTATTGCCAAGCCTACGGAAGCGACCCCCGATCAACATGTTGTTTCGCAGGAGCCTCAGCATGCTTTCGCCGCGGTCGGGTGCATGCATCACGGCCAGGGTTTGGCTGAGCAGGATTGTATTTGTCTTTGTTCAAAGTCTGAGTAGGGACTACTAGAAGGGGACACCTGCAGCGGGCAATGTGAGTAGCAGAGGCAGCTACTTGCAGCGGCATGCGTTGGCCTCTGCGTAACCGACGCTCGGCGGGAGTCATTTTTCAGGATCTTCTGAGAGCCAACAAGTTCTTGAACAATACTGAGCTGCATTCCTTAGCGAGCTTCAAGTTAGATCGTCCGTGGCCCATGGCTGCTCAAAGACACAGAAGTGCTTGGGTACTAAGTTTGACGTCTATTGGGGTGGACAGCAGGTTCAGATGGGGTCAAGAAGACCAGTGAAAGTAAAATCCTGGCCAGCCAGAGCACTTGAGATGCGCATCCAAATCCTTGTCTTTGCATGCAGCAGCAAAAAAAGTCATGCAAAGTTTGTCACGATGTCATCTCTGAGCAGGGCAGGACTTCAAAATGACTCCACGATTTAACTTCAATCTCCCTTCTGAGTTCCCCTAGAAGTTTCCTATGGGTCCCGGATGCGAAAGTTTCCTGTTGGGCCTTGTAGTCTCTTTATCAAGCAGTTTTCATTTTACGATTTTGCATGTGTGCATGCTACAGGAGACTTTGCCTGCAAAAGGGACAATGGACTGGTCCCTGCCCCTCGGCAAGCCACGATATCAGGCTGCGATTCCTTTCATTACAGTGTTCTGCCTTGCATGGCAGCTTCCACAAATAGGGGGACCCCAATCTACATCCCCAAATACTATAGTCCTTATTAATTATATATACCCTAAAAAGGAACCCTCAGTCTTGGGAAACCCCCACATGCTTCCATGCCATGACCGCACCTAAGATCTTGCAGGGACTGGGTGAGCTTTTAACTCTGCAGGGGTAGGTTGCCTGTACCCTGACAGATGGGGTCACAGGTTGCTGGGTCTATCCCTTTCGCCCCTCCTTCTATGAAATACTCCCATTGTGGTACATCGTAACATATTGAGAATATTGAATGTTGGGGGGCGTAGGGGTTTAATCTCAGGTTGTGAGGTTCACATGCCCTTGGCTTTGAGGGACATGCTGTGGCTTCACCTGGCAGGGCACACCCCACAGGCAGAAGCACGTCGGTTGCTGGCATTAGAATTCATTTGTCATGCTTACTGCGTAACCCAAATACAGAAAGTTGCTGTCTCGAAAAAGGCTAGCAACGTGCCTTCTTTGGAGCCATGGGATAGAATTCCAAAAACAGACCTACGGATGTTTAAAAGCGAGTCCAGGAACACAGTGAGCCCTTTGAGTTCTTGGTCTTTCTTCCGCAAGAGCAAAGCCCTGGCTGTGCTGGCCGTGCTTTGCACAGCCATGGAGCCTCCTGGCCATGTGAGGGGGCGTATCACAATGTTTTTTGCATTTCTTGTGCAAGTTGGGGCGTTACAGAGGTTTAAAGCGCACTGCATGTCCGTGGTTGGTGACGTAGATCCGGAGGCACTGCGCTTGCGCGAATAGCTCTGAATCCGCCGTGATTAGGCTGCCGTCGCACGTCAACATTGATGCTGTTTATCGTCGCCAGAAGTTCGGCGAGCGATGGGGCAACGAGCGGGATTCATCGCAAATGGTCGCGTGCTGAGGAAATGTGCTGGGGTCACCGAGAATGTAAAGTTACATTGACAAGCCAGTTATCACGTATCCGTGGAACTGTTATTCTCGGAGCTGAGGTCGTTTACCAGATTGCTGGTGTGCTTAGCACGTTCTTCCGTGCCCCGCTGATTGCAAAGCTCGGTCAGCAGGGGGCCTGCCGACTTGAAGCTTGGTGCACGGACTCTCGGTAGCAAATTGGCAAATCATTTTCGTTTAGGCTTGAAATTCACGGGGCGTAATGCATTTGTTGCACGGAAGCTGTGGGAAGTTCACAGCAAGGTCATCATGAATTTGAACAATGCCTTAGCCTGGCGTCCGAGCCTTCTTTACTTGAACCCGCTCCTCTGTGTGTCACGCGGTGGCAGTGCGCTCATCAAGCTTCATGCCTTTCAGAAGTGGAGTCAGAAGTTGGGGACAGCGGTCGTCAGAGCATGCCAGCATGTATCCACACTAGCCAGAAGCTGTTCAGAACTGCAGAAGGCATAGATATGCGGCCCGCTGCAGTAGCATTTCGACCTGGCTGTCACCACAGATTAGTTCATGAAGATGGTTATGGTGATGGTGATGAAGATGAAAAATCAATGATGGCACGAGCATTGCCAACTTCAGCCCAGTTGCAGACAGCCTAACTGAGAAAGCTGCAGACACCAGGCCCTGGGCCAACCCCTCAGTAGCCGGCTCCAGGTTTCAGTGCGGCGGACTCGCGCAGCTTGGCGAGCAAACGGTTTCGTGTTCCAACCGCTTTTTGGTGACCTCCTTCCATGCCATTAAAAAGACTAGATACCCACATCTCCAGGCGCTTGAAGAAACAGGCTGACGTGCATCCCTCTTGCTTCTACTTCCGTTCCTTCCATCGAGTTTGCCGTAGCTCTGCTCTCAGAGCTCTCTGCTTCCTACATCGTCCGTCCTTCTACGCGGAAGAGAGTGAGGAAAGAAGCTATTTCTGGGAAGCCCCGCATGAAGTCATGGCCAAGTCCTAGTAGCCTCAAGAAAACCATGTGAGACCTCAGAAATAGAATGCCCAACCCCCCACCCACCCGCACAGGTTGGATCAGGAGTTGCAGAAGGCGGCCTCATCTGCAAGCCTTGGCGCTCCTCAGCTGGGTTTAAAGGGATCGCGCAAAGACCTGAGGCAAGAGTGATTTATGAGTATAGTTCCCTTGAAAGTAAATAGGATATGGATTGCCCAATGTCACAACAAGATCTCCGTATGTATACCCCCTGTTCTATCTACTTGAGGGGAGTTAGAAGGTGCCGATTGATGTCACGACGCAGCCGCAGACATATCTCTCCTGATTGGCTGGTGTACTAACACCAGAGTCCTACTTTGCTTTGTTCTTCCTCCGAGGCATCACCCAAAGGGCGCCCCAGCACGCACCACACGAGGATCATTCAGGTTTAAGTGGGCGGGGGGTCAAGTAGTATGATTGGGGACCACAAAAGTTCAATGTAGGGCTCTATGGATCTGCATCTAAGGTGGGCCTCTTGGGCGATCCTTGGCGTTCATTTGTTTGTTTAGGGTTGTGGGCCTAGGCTTGCATTTGAGGGTTGCAGCTGGTGGGTTTGCATAACCTTTACGGTTTAGGATTCAGGGCTTAGGGTCAAGGTTTAGGGCTTGAACATCTTCGAAATGTTGTAGTTCGGCATCGCATCGACGGGTGCTTCAGGCTGAAGCTTAGTGGAATGGTGGAACCCTAAACTCAGAGCCTTTCAGCAGAGATGAACCTAATCATGTGCATTTTGGTAAAGCACCGCTTGTCCTGAGGGAATTTCCCTACTCATTGTTTAGGGCTTAAGGAAGAATGGCAGACTGGGAAACAGCAAAATGAGGCAGCCAATGCGAATCGGAGCTTCCTGCCATCTTTGGCATCTCGCTTGCACTTGTGACATGACTACTACTATTGCTGTTATTCTCAGTACAGGTACGATCATGAGAACGAATAATCTATTGGGAGGGTTTAGGGTACAGCTCAAACATGCTCAAACCTATCCCTAACGTCGTCCGAGAGGGCAGCTCGCTGAAGTGTATTCGTACGGTGCGGTTAATTATGGCTCTACAGCGTGACGGGTTGTATTGGGGTTACATTCGGGTTATACTGGGGTTATATTGGGATAATGGAAATTATAATGAACACTGCTAGTTTAGGGGTTTAGGGTCTCAACTACGTAAAATAAGGCCCGTATGGCTGCCCAGCACTTTCGTCTACATGCGCAGGCAGTAGCTGTTCGTAGCAAGTTATTGGAACGCGACAAGGTCATGCCGCGGGTCTACACTGCCATGTACAGCTCCTCGGTTCGGATTCCTCTTCCGTGAAGTCTTGCCATCCGCAGGTACAGCTATCCACCAAAATTGCGCAGGATGCGTTGATGTATGCCATTCTCGTGCCATTTCGTGAACTGGGTTCTTCGGTCTCATGTTCAGGGCCAGGCTTCAGGAGAAGCAGTGCGGGGGCTTCGGCCAGTTGTTTTGAAGTCCTGGCAAATGCACATGAGCTTATGCCAGTATCATTTATGGTGGTAATACTTAACAATGTGTAGTGTCGGGTTTGTGAAAAAGCCTCATTTATCATGTAACATAATAACAGGTATGTAATATAACGAATAGCTTATGATTAATTCTGCACAGGGATTGTAGTCACATTGGCACCTGGCCAAGCGATGCCACGCATGTTCGAAAACCTTGGAGAGTTTGATGAGGCCATCGTTTCCAATACGAGGGCCGACTTTCCATGGCAGAAAATTCTCTTGCAACAGATGTCCCGTTATTAGATCCCATACTGTTCCCTCAACCCCTATGACAAGTAGTTCAAGATATTGCCACATGAGCTATAGTCTAATTATCCCTATAGTAGTCCCCTATATAATCTCCTAGATAACCCCCTGTAAGGAGTTTAGACTATAGCTCACATGGGAATTTCTCAAAATGGTGAGGCACCTCCAAAGTTGTGTAGCAGTCGGGGATCAGCGCTAACATGCCAGAGGCCTCTGGTGCCGCACACATCCTTCCGCAGCATATGCCGTCGCCGCTGCCACGCCACTCGGAGCTTCCAAAAAGAAAGAGTTTAGAGCCTATGACATCGGTAGATTCCTGAGCAAGTGCCCCATTCTGGTATCCAAAGTAATGTCAGATTGTCAGCAGCCCTGAGACCCCCAAATCGGCCAGCTTAGTGTTCATCTTTTCTAAACCTGAGATTGAGTACAATCTCCATCACAACCCAAGGCAGAGACACACAGAAGCTAGTTGCGAAGATCCTATTGGGCTCACTGGTTGAAAGATGTTGCTTACATGTTAAGTGAGGATTTGCTGATCCCAACCCACAATAAGCACCCTACGGGTATCACATGACGTTTCGGGTCTCTACTTTCTTGAGTTTGGTCTTTTTGGGGCTCTAGTTTTGGGAGGTAAGGGGTGAAGGGTACTGGCATTGTGAATAGGGCCCTTATCATACCACGACTGGCGGGCGACAGGAATCCAAGGGTTTGTACTCCACTTGTAAGGAATGGATCTGTATAGCAGTCCCTATATCACCCATTGTGGTAGTTTCCATCTTCTCTTCCATTCCTAGACCCTAAACCATAGTGATAAACATTCGCCTGGTTAGGGGAGTGGTCTTTTTCATCATTAGGCGGAGGGCTTAGACTGGTCGGTGACTCCACAGTTTTGTTTAACCAGTTGTCGGGAAAACTGCCAAAGTCAGGGTTGCTGTTTGATCCCGCAAAACAAGTAGCATGCCACATGTTACATCCGGCACCCAAAAAAAGGAGGAAACTATGCTGGACTGTGTTAGGGAGTTTAAACGAAGCTACCATAGTTTTTAAATCTTACTGTTCACTATATATCCGTATTATGGTAACTCAGTTAAGTTCCTCAACAGCAGCCCGGAAGAGTATGTTGAGTTCAGGGCTCAGGTGTTCTCCAGCTCAGTTGCTTGGCACAATGCCCGAAGCATGTTGAGTAGGAATTGAGGGTCAGTAGTGAAAAAAGGTATATATGTTACAGGGGCTGCATGGCTGCGAATCAAAAAAATGGGTTTTGTTACAGGCTTCAGTGGGCATTCCGCGACATAGGTTTGTAACAGGTTTGCGCGGCTTGCGACAACGACAAGGCTCGTTTGTGGGGCATAGGTTACGAAACATTCACAACAAAGATATGTAACAACAGGCCGCGACAAGTGGGTATGCAACAGGGGGGGGACCCGCGACAAACCGGGGTTGTGATTCACAGCCATATGAGCTATAGTCTAAACTCCTAGTATCCCCCTTAATATCCCCTATAGTAGCCCCCTATATAATCCCTTACATAATCCCCTTTAAGGAGTTTAGACTATGGCTCATATAGGATCATATGGGATAATATTCCATCATTCCTCAGCTCAAGGGGGCAATCAAATCATTGCCGCTATCCCTTGTGGACGGAATGAAGGGGTGTTGGGGGCGTGTTACAACTGATGCTGAATCCCTCTGGATCCCAATAGCCCAATGTAGCTAATATTTACAGACCCTAGACCCCCAAACCAATGCAGGGGAAATTACCCTAAACTCTCCCCGAAAATACCCAGGATAACGGTACCCTAAATCGAAACTCTGCAAAGGGCTGCCCTCACAGCCGAGCTGGTGGTGCCCTGGACGTTTGCACGGCTCAAGCCTGGCATGCCGTGAAGCAGAAAAGATGTGCTGGTGCTTCACTGGATAGTAATAGTAATAGTAGTAGTAATAGTACTAGTAATAGTAATAGTGGGCGTCCCCCTGCTATTAAACCTCACCCGCCCCCATTAGTGCCTAGAGGGTCTGGGGTCTCGGGATCTCGTTTGCTGGTGCTCAGTGGGTGTGGGAAGCATGAAGGTAGGTACTGTTCTAGGATTCTAGGTGTACATATGGGCGCTCGAGTAGGAACGACGGATTATTGAAGGCTTATTGGTCTATAGGGAGAAGTTGAGATCACGTGCATGCCCTGAGACATTGTATAGCCTAATTCCTATAAACCCATAATAGAACGCTTTATACCTTCCCTACAACATTATAGAACAACCCTGTCATCATAATAATAAGCACTTGGTGAGGCCGATGTTGGAATTATAGCTGGATTGGTGGAGCGATCACATGGGGTCTGGGGATTCCAGCATTTTGCAGCAGGCCTAGGCTTGCCAACCGCTTATTGCAGGGAAGAAATGAGAATCACGGTGCAGGCGCAAGAGCTGCAGGCCAGAAACAAACAGTCTGTTTAACTTGTCGTCCTGGGAAAGGGGGTTTAAGGAGATCCTATTGCTGGGAAATACGCAGGGTAAGGTGAAAGCAAAAGATGGTAGCCAAAGTTCTTTCTTGAGAAAGCGCAGCGTCATGTGCTTGCATTAGGGTCCCTGGCCCAAGTCCAGCAGGCACGTTAACTTGACACACTGTTCGTAAACTGCTGCTGCATCGTAGTTCCAAGCCTGAATCATACACACCACAGGCAACACACACATTTCAAACCTGATCTCCCGGCCCTTCGCAAAAATCATGCTGGATGAAACATTCGTCGAGCTCAAGGCGGAGGACTCCAAGAAGTTTTGTCCTTCTCTTGCAGCTGAAAAGTCGTCGTCGTCGTCGCCGCCGCCGCCGCCGGAGTAGTAGTAGTAGTAGTAGTAGTAGTAGAAGACCAGCAGGCACAAATGGATTGCAATATTCTGGTGCGCAGAAGCAGGAGTCGGCAGAACTGTATGCAGACGTCCGTTTGACGGTGGTGCTGCTGTCAGGCTATGTCCAAGCAGCCCAGGCAGCATTAGTGAGCTCAGAGGGGTGTAAGCATGGCAGACAAGCACAACAGAGGAGACGGCTTCGCACTGATGGCTGGCAAGGCGAAAAGCACAGGAATATTGCCAAAAGAATTAGCGGCAATGCACACTCCAGTTGAAATAGTAATCCTAACCTACCACCATCTACCAGAGCTAAATGTGTTCAACGGTACCAGGCTTGGTATTCGGAGGAGAAGGTGAAGACAGATGCCGATAAATCACAAGTTCATTCACATGGATATTGTTATAGTTCGTTATGCTTAGCAACAGTGACGAGTTTTTTTTGAAAACGGCCGGCAGCAGGCTTAAAGGCCATTGGACATTCGCTTGTAAACTCTCACCATCATATGATCGTTCTTTGGAACATCCAACGGCGGAATCCGTCGTTATCAGATATTTCCCAAAACCGAAGCATTGGTGGCCTGTGCCCAGGAACTGTGCTGCAGCAAGATGGACCGGGTTGCTGCAGCTGCATGTCGCCCCTACATTCCCGGAGTTGCCCATAGCCTGGGCTATGTATGCATGCATATATCTTAGGTGGACCCCCCCACCCAGTAATAGTGACTATAGGGGAAAATAGGGATTACATTAGGGTCCTTTGATATTCCTATTATACCACTATTACAGGGTGGGGGGCCCTCCTAGCATATATCCCATGATCTGCAACATTGATTAGGCATCGAATTTGGAGTTTCTTACGCCAGCGCTTCCTGTGGTGAATCAAGCAAACCTGCGCCCCTAAACGCTGAACGTGTTGCAGCCTGATCTATTGCAACAGATGACGATGATGGTCATGACGATAATTGTGCTGGAAATGCAGCAGTCGGAATCATTATCATGACAAGCGCAGGTAGGGCATAGCAGCCTACTGCCAACCATTATCAATGAATCAGTCTGATGAGGATAGTGCCGCTGGCCAGGACACGGTATCAGAGGTCCGCCGCAAAGTTTCACAGGCGCTGGGCTTGACGGAGGGCAAGGCGCCACCCAGACATAACTCTTGCTACAACAGTTTCATAGTTTTCTACAGATTTACAGACACCTGGTTCCATGTTTTTTGGAAAGCCAATTTGCATTGTGCACTCACCTCAGTTTCAGGCATGAATGCTCTGAAAATTAATCATGCAAATGTCTGTAGGCGTGTTTGCGCGAACTTTTCTCGGTGCTCATTACAACGTTTCCAACCATTGTAGTCCAATTTACCGCTCAGAAGCCTTGTACGACAACTACGCCGGAGTGGCCGTGGTTAACCGTCTCGCGGATCGTCAATCACTTTTGTGCAAGACATGGTAAGACGGGAGTGAGAATAATCTTCTTCCTTGGGCGCGGACTTAGGAACAATCTGGCCTGTTAAAATGAGAGGTCTATGCTGTAAGTAACAATACCCCCTAAACCCTCACCCTGAAGCCTAAACCATATGGGTAGTTTCCAAAATTAGGGACCCATTTGGTACCCCTAAATATTAGGTGCCGTAATATAACCTATAACCAAAAGGGGCCCAAAATTTTGAGAACAACCCACATGCTTAGTACGCTGGAGGCTTGCAGGTTGCTTGACCCGCACGGAGCTTGCCTCCCGGACGACCGTCCAGCAGAGGATTGGGGATGTCAGCAAAAAGTTTTAGGGTTTGGGGCCGGGGGACCCCTTTCTAGACCCCAAAATACTATCATCTTTGCACAGGGAGCTTTAAAGCCGTACCCGGAATTTGGGGAAACGTATCTCTCCATCATCTAAGGTTAGAAGTATGGGCCCCTAATATGGGCCCTAAGGCCTTCTTCGGGGATTCTAGGGACCCTGAAGCATAATTATAGAGTATATAGTAGGTATATAAGGACCCCAGGGTTAAGGGCCCAGGCTCCTCTGGAGACTAATTCTGGCAACGCAGGAGCCAGAATTCAAAACTCAAAGGGGTTATATAGGGGATTGCCTGTGTCTCTTATAGCATCGACGGTGCTAATTATTTACGGAAATCCCTAAACCCTAAAACCCTACACCCTAAAACCCTAAACCCTATGACCCAGGGGTCACAGACAGGAGCTTCGGAACACCACGCTTACTGGCGTGCTGGTGCCATCAGCTAAAACCGTGGATTCCCATTTGGAAGCTCATGTGAGTTATAGTCTAAACTCCTCAAAGGGGGGCTGTATAGGGGATTATATAGGGGACTACTATAGGGTATACTAAGGGGGATACTAGGAGTTTAGACTATAGCTCATTTGGAAGCTCATGCGGGGTTACATGTATTGGGAGGTTTATGGTGAGCGCGGCAGATGTCTAGCTGCGGTGAGTTTGAACTTTACGCTTTTGTTGTTACTGCTGCCAAACTTATTTCTGCCTCATTGTCATCATTTGGAGCATGCACAAACGTGAGGCAGTAGCAGCATCTCAAAGCAGTGGGTGCCAGTAGTGTCACTACGCGAGAGAAACAAAGGTGCGTCTGGCCAGATTCCGCTCAAGCCCGCCAGACGACTTCTGCTCGTTGTGCGTGGACGGATTTGGAGATATGCTATTCTGCTGCAATGAAGTTATGAGTGCAGACGTTCTGCGCCCAAAATGGGTACCTGTATGTTTTAAGCCTGTGGGATGTCATGTCAAGGCATACAGGGTGCAGATGCGCGAGGCATGATGCCTGTCATTTTAAACCTCAGCCGTGGCCATACAGGCCCTCAAGCGTAGTTGCCTTTCATCGGGGCGCAATGAAGTCCTGGAAGATTGTCGCGATCTTCCTTTTCCAGGCCATCGGCCTGAAGTACCAAGAGCAAGACGATCCGTTCTGCGAAGGAGACCTGCTTAGCAAGACAAAGGTCTTCCAATGCGATGAGCAAGAGGAGAAGATGTGCCAGGATAAGTACACTATGGTCAACCCTGAAATGTACACCCAGTGCCAACTCATCAACGGAGAATGCCTGGCACGAGGTCCGCCCTGCAAGGATCTTGGCATTTCCGGCCTGACCTGCTCCAGCTTGTCGGAGTGCGAAGGCAAAGGTTGGAAGAAGACTTGGACAAGTGGTACTGACACCAAATTCTCGAAGGCCTTGGGGAGCTGGGTTTTGCTTGGATATGTCAAGGACAACGGAGAGATGTCCCATGCCTGGTTCTTTAAGACTCCAGAAAGCTGGAAGTCCACTCATCCATACAAGCTCCAGCACAAGGGCGACATGATCAAAGCCATTCGTGCAACGGATGGCAAAATGTATGAGGGAGAGCCACTAGGTGGCTGTTAAGAATCTTAACTTAAGTTTTCGTATTTGGGAAGCCCGACTAGCTGCTAAATGTCCAATAGAGTATGATACCTTGGTTTAATTTCCTTACCGCTCTTTGTAACCTCTACCCAGCCCCCCTCGTCCAGTTCATTATCAATGGCCTTGTCCGTTTGATTCTCCGTAGTTAGGGCAATATCCCTGAGCCTAAGCCCCAAAACACAGTCTCCATTTGTCCATTTGATTTTCCGTTTGATTCTCCTTTCCCTTCGCAGCAGCGCAGGCTCGTGTCCGACTACTCCAATTATGGCGGAGGCTGTGAGTGTGGCAAGGGCTCAGGTCATTGGGGTCGTATTTGCCTTCGCGAGAAGACGCCCCCGAGTGGTGGTTGGAAGTGCGACGGCAAAGGGAACGCCGTGCCTGATGCCACTCGCCTCAATAGTCCTCTTAGAACATCAATCCGAAGAGTTGTCCTTTTTTGTTTTCAGATCTGTAACCTGCTTTTGTTTGCTGTCGTGCCCAAGGAAATCGATTTCCCCTATGTCCGGGGATATGGCTCCGGCAACGGCTGTGGCAGTTCAAGCCTGAGCTCCTTCAATTGGAATGCAGGCACCAACTTCTGCAGCCAGGGCTTCAAGGTCTTGATCATGACAACGTAGACTCCAGGCCCTAGACCTAGTACCGCACCCTGCTTGCAACTCGAATGTGGGTGCAGACGGAGCGCCGATCCGTGAGATTCTTCAAATCGTGGTCCCGTAGCGGTTTGGGGCCAACATTTAATGGTTCTGCAGGGCGGGACCTTGATTTTTTAGAATGACCGACATGCGGTAGCCAGGATCCTGTGAAGAAAGAGTGCGCATGTACCTTGAGGCTGACCTGGTTCAGCTGAGCATGCAGGTGCTTCCACCGATGAGAACACTTGGCGTTTCTAAGACACTGGGGTGGCTCTCTAAACCTTATTGCTGAAACCCTTGCGAACTCTAGCGTGTGTGTTGCTTGTGTAGTTGCGCTGCACAAGATTCACCAATTATTCGAATTACAATGATTCCGAATATTGCTATTATTCCTGCTGTTACAAATGGATCCAGGTCGGCCCGGTACATGGAAGTCATGGAAGGTGGCCAGATGGCCAAGAACAGAGATTCCAAGCTGAAGAATCTTACTTGGAGGGTGGGGTTGCTTACAGTTGTTTTGTAGCCCACACAGGTTCAAGTATGACAATTTTTCGAACTATGGGACTTCGTACAGTTGCTAAGCACCTCACGCAAACTCCAGTTAGGATCGTTTCTGCTGTCCGTCCAGCATGATCATCCATCATATGAGGTTTCCTTTAGAATCCACCTCACGTCTGGTACAAATTTGGTAGAGAGGATTCAGTGATCGGAGTAACTATGGTAATGGTTGAAGCCAGGGTTGTCTGTTGTACAGGGGGCTGAGTGGGGGCCATTTTGTGAAAGTACTAAAGGTGAAGCTTGTAGGCTGTTTTCTGATGGTTTCATTAATTTTCATTCAGATATTCCACATGATTCTTAAGTATTCCTTTCTGGAGATACCCGCAGATAGCTCCTGGAGCCGGTCATACCCCTCATTGCTTCTGATTCCTTGAGGTTGTAAAATCTAGCGACCCCAGCTTTCAATACTTCTTGAACATGCACTCTGAAGATTAACCTCCAAGCCTAAACCTCAAACCCTTACAATTTTGCCAGTTTACCTCCTAGTAGACTTAGTGCATACATTGAGCCATTCCGTCATGCAAGAAATTTCCGAAAGTTCCTTCCCGCATTAGATGGGAAAGTTGAATGTTAGGGTCAGGGCTGCATAGGCTTTTAATGCGGACGTAGTGTGGACGCAACCTTAATTCCTTAACCCTAAACCCTTGGGCTCACGGAGCCCAGAGTTTGCGCAAAGCTTAGATTGAAGACTTGCATTTTTTGGGCCTGCTACATTCATCTACTAAGCAAGGATGTTACAGGAACAGCGCGGAAGGCTCCTAGCTGAGGAACCCTGAGTTCCAGGAACATGCTATATTCCCAGAACCACCAAAAAAACTTGCCCTGCGCTAACTCTTCAGAAGGCATTGACGAGCCCTTGGTAACACAAGGACCCATAAGCGTAAGGAAGACAGTTTGGGACCTGCCCAGGATCAACAAGATGGCAGAGTTGAACTGGAGGACGCTGTTCGATCTCAGCCATTACTTGCAGCGGGGCTTATTGAATGGCTTATTGTGTAGGGTGTGAATTTCACAGGCACAACAGGGGCAACCATGATCCTCCTGTCACAGTAGCTGATGATGCTACCCGCAAATCATTTGAGTCATGCAGCCACCAGAAACATTTGCCGCAAACAGCTTGCCAACGCCATAAGGCTCTTTCCTTGAGAATACTCGTGATGGGTTGTTTGGTGTGCGCTCGTGTGGCGCAAGCTGCCCCAATATGCAGTTCTTGCGCTGAGCCATTTGGCTGGAAATTCCGATTGTAAATAGAGAGTACTTTGGAATGCCATGCGCGGTTCGGGGTCTACGCCAGCTACACCAGCATTGTGGTCATAATGTTCTATCAAAATGGTCAGGGAGGTCGCAAGCTTGCGGTCAATGACGCGGTCACGTGAAAAGAAAAACAGCAACCCTCCAAAACCGGTCGTATTTCTGGCACAAACCAACCTCTCATCTTGCAGGATGCATTTGCAGACACAGACCTGCCAGTGCACCTGTTGGTTTCGATGCCTGCAAGCTGTGGATATGCCCATTTCATCTATGCACCTGGGCAGCTTACTTGGTATAATATTGGTGGACCCCCCACCCAGTAATGGAATAACAAGGATAATATTAGGGTCCTTTCATATTCCTGCTATAACACTATTGGAGAGTGGGGGGGGTCCTCCGGCTAAAGTATGATGGGATCCTATTCTACACCCACTCTTTTTCCGATCATGTGAGACAGACCTACATCATGGCTGGGGCCTCGGGATAGAACGAAGGAGTGTAGCACAGAATCCAATGATAGTATATAGCCAGGAAGGCCCTGGGTTTAGGGTTTTGGGGGTTTTGGGTGGAGGGAGCAAGGATTCGTAGAGAAGAAAATGCAAGCGGAATTAGCTGGTATTAGCTGTTCAGGAATTTGCCAGTTTGGAAGCGATAAGACTCAAGGTTTATGTCCTTTTCAAAACTGTCTTCATTAATATTACTATTATATACTATTATTACTTTTATTGCTGTTACTATTTGATACTATTGCTACTACTACTGTTTATGAAAGCCAGCAAGTAGATTCGACTGAGAAACGCCCAGGTAAGACGTGGTTCCAATGTGGCTACGGTGGAGGCCAATCAGGAGGATGTTTACTCCGCGCCTTGGCAACGAGGGTTTCCATACAAATCTCTACATGGATATGCGAAAATGTAGAAGGAAATCAGGAAGAGGTTTACTTCCCACCTTGGCGAAACACGACATGGGGGTTTCCCGTAATTATGGGTGCCATTTTGGGGGTCCCGATAGTAAGGATTATAGTATACTGGGGCCCTTCTACTTGGAAAATCACCAAAGCCTTCAATCTCAAAAGTGTGGATATTGCCGATGGTAGTCGCCAACATGGTATAGTGCAGTGTCACAGCATGCAATACCGTGTGATGTTCTAGCCGATAGCAGTACGGTAAAGAATGGTTGAAGTTTTTTGGTTACGGCCTGAAGCTTAGGTTGTCCTTGACACCCAGAATTTGATCGTCGAGGCCAGTAAGTTGTTGAAATCACCTTTCTGCCCTTGGTGCTTTGCAGCTTCTCTGTCCATGATGGTGTGAGGATCCATCATGTGAGTGGTGTTGTTATGTTGCATCTTTGATCATATGGGTGGTTGTCAAAATTATGGTCCCTTTTTGGGTATCCTAAATATTAATAGGGACCCCAAAAAGGGACCATAATTTTGACAACCACCCATATCTTGCCGTATGTCAGAAGTTGAGGGTGATTGACCGTTACCTTGTGCATCATCGCATATAATCACGCATCTGCTTCATATGTCTGAAGTATGGGCTCAGCTTGCACAGGTCGCTTCCGGGAAAGATCGGCGGACCTGTGTAAAGCTGCCCAGCGGTGTGCCTTGACAGAACGTGTCAGGCAGTGGGCTGCCCCTTAACCTTAAACTCGAATCCCTAAACTTTCACAAGGCAATCTCAGCTGCCGTTTGAGCTTGAGGCTCAACACGTGCACGGGGCTTTAGGCATGGCCGGGGTGGGGTAGCTTCTTGCCTCCTCAGATTAAAGTTGTAAAGCCAAACCCTCTGCGCATGCTTCATTTCTTTGGCAACTGATTGAACCAACCCCCAAAGTACCCCGAGAACTCTGTCTGAGGAGCATCCGCTGCGACTCGGTGTTTACGTCTACAAGGCCGGTGAGGTTGCCCTCAGAGACAACTCGCACCGAAGCGGATTTTTCTCAAGCACGGAGGGTTTCTGTGATCAATTCGACCAAGTTGGGTTTGATTAATCTGCAAAGGACAAGAACAGTAAAATGCGTGACTTCTATGACCTTTTGCCTACAAAAATTAGTACAGAAATTATTAGTGCCCTGCTGCAAGCTCCTTTGCCACGTTCCAGTAGTTGCGTGACAGCTGCCACAGCGGAGACTTTACCCGCTGTGCCTGACGGCTGGCCTGCAGCGGGCCTGTGCAAAAGCTCGTTGGATGCTAGATGGTGAATATCCATTATTATTAGTAGTAGCAGTAGTAGTAGCAGTAGTAGTAGCAGGAGTAGTAGTAGTAGTAGTAGTAGTAGTAGTAGCAGTAGCAGTAGCAGTAGCAGTAGCAGCAGCAGCAGCCGCCGCCGCCGCCGTCCTCGTCGTTGTCGTTGTCGTCGTGGTGGTGCAGTCATAGCAGCCATGGCAGCAGTACTAGCATGTGCTAGTCATGATAGTATAGTCGTCTTGATCACCAGTTTGCTACATGAGTTACATGCTCGCCCGCAGCCGCGAGTAGGCAACTCGCAAACATAAAGATAAACTCTTGGCCAGCAGGATGCTAGCTTGCTTGCGAGGGTGCTTGGACCCACTTGTCCTTGATGCCACCATGCCCCGCTCATCACAATTCCGCGCACTGCAACATAGCTCCAGCATCTTATGCTAGGCTTCCAGACGCAGTCCTTGATTTTCGGCAGTCCTGTACGCTCCCGTACAACTTCATTTGAGGAGACATGCACTGAGACCTTTACAAAAGGATTTTAAAAGCAATCGACAACTGCCAACATCATAATGCGGCCATGATCCTCTTGCTGCAACCATGTGCGACATTGAGACTGCCCGTGTAACTTGGACTGCACTGGAGAGAGCTTGTTGCAAGCAGTCTCATCGCTGCTACATGTGCATAATTGGGATAGCGTCGGGGCTTGGATGGTGAGGGGAAGACAGCTTTCAGCATTCTGCTCGTGGTTGTCAATTTGACAGAGACATCAATCCAGTGGGCTAAGGAGAAAGCGAGAGACCTCCATGGCTCCGCACGCGAGTGCCTCCGCTGCCACAGATTTCACCCTGGTGTTTATGCATGGGCTCCAGGGCAAACAGAGCACAGCAAGGGCCCTTTTGCAGGTGGCTTCGGAAAATGCCGGAGGCTGTCCGCGCAGATCGCCAGGCAGGGCTGTGCCAAACTTTGCCTTTCTTGCAGGCAAATTCGGTGGACAGGAATCCATACTGCGATCCATACATGTTGAGTTGAAACAGGGAATTGGGCGCCGATATGAAGTCTTTTGTTTGAAGATGGTACTATTACTCAGTGCGTTATGAGGACAAACTTTGGGAAGATGTGGGCGGGCTGGGAAGTACATGCTCTGCAGCTGCAGCATAGTGAACAAAAGACCTACTTTAAGACCCAGCACGATTATTCTCTGAGCCGTCTCTTGGAAGACATTGGCGCATGGACGCCAATTCCCGCGCTAGGTGGTCCTCACCATCGTCCAGAAGGCCTGCAAAAGTTAGCAAAGCAGGTAGAGTACCTAGGATGTGAAGGGTTGCTCTCGGTAGAAAGAATGGCCTTGGATCCGACATGGACTTCTGCAGGGTTGGATTGTGATTGGTGGATCCAGCACTATGTTGGCTTGCTCAAAGGCAGCTATGCCTCAGCCTGCCATAAATAGGGATGTATTTATGGAGATATTGCCCCTATCATGGAGTGTCAAATGGAAAAGTAACAGTAAAATCAAAGGCGCCCAAAGGGGATTTGACGTGGTTTGAATCGTTGACCCACTCATGGGCGTTCCGTGGGAGTTGCTAAAAAGAGCGGGTCCATAGGGATCCCGGGGATATGGGGGATCACAATGGATTATGTGGGTTTAGGGATTAGGGGTTTAGGGTTTACTAAACCCTAAACCCTAAATACTAGTTTCCATTTTATTTTCCATTATCCCAATATTAGGGTTTAGGGATTCCTCTCAAAGACAAACATTGCGATGGAGCCCCTGAGGATGGACTCGCACTGGAATGGGCCTCGCGAGCTCTTCAATCTGACAAGGATTCTGGTGGGTCAGCAAGAGTAATTGTAATAGCATTAGCAATAGTAGTAATAGTAGTAGTAGTAGTAGTAGTAGTAGGCGCCCCCCTCCCTACCAACTATGTTTCCCAGATTGCGCATGTTGAAACCAAGTAAAAACTGAGGAAGTAGTGGCTTTCGTGAAATGCCAAAAGTTTGTACTTTCGTAATGCATGGGGATGCCTGGAGGGGGTTGAGGTAGGGTGGGGTGGAGGGGAGGGGGGGGGGCATAGTGACGTCCATTCGAAGAGCGCACATGCAAAAACTATTGGCATTTACAGCATGCTTCATGATTTTGCGTGGGTGAGGCACGTTCCACAACTACCCTCTTCAGGAGTAGTAGCAGCAGCAGCAGCAGCAGGAGCAGGAGCAGTAGCAGTAGCAGTAGCAGTAGCAGTAGCAGTAGCAGCAGGAGCGGTAGATGCAAGACCTGTAGCCTCAGTAAAAGCAAAAGAAGTAGTAATAGCAATAGGAAAAGCAAGTTACATTCAAACATAAACGGGATGGTAACATCGCTTCTTGGTAAGTTTTGATCGGACCTTGCAGTACTCATATGAGCTGTGGTCTAAACTCCTTACAGGGGGATTATATAGGGGAGAAATATCTAAGGGGGATACAAAATTTCCGATGGTTGATGGTTAGGAGAGCGGCAGCCCCCGCGTTCGGAAAAACATGGACGCTCCTTGCTACATAGTTGATCGCATGTCCCAGCCACTGGGCCGGAAGACAGTACTTCGAGGTGGTCAGAGCCTGAAAAGTGCGAAATAATCAGAATACTGTCCAGAACTACAGGATGATTTGCCTAGGCTCAGTGTGATTTGACCAGAGGATCGGGGGGACCAGGGGACCAGGACCTAAAAGCAAAAAAGACAATGTAAACAAACAATCCTACCGTTTCTGCTTCAACCTTCCATCTGGTTGAGCCAAACCGACCACTGGAGCACTCTGCATGATCTTCTTTATGGTCACCTCCAGACGTCCAAAAGTTGATTGAGCACTTGAGTTTGATCTACGAAGGCTGTGTCAGTCTTTTGCTGAAATTGTGACAAACCCTTTTCCTAAGGCCACATTTTGAGATTGCTGAAAATCGAACCCAACATTGATTTTTGAAATACTAAATTAGCAGCAGCAGATGCGGCAGCAATACACATGGGTGGTTGTCAAAATTATGGTCTCTTTTTGGGTACCCTAAATATTAGGTGCCATATTATAATAGGGATCCAAAAAGGACCGTAATTTTGACAACCACCCGCGTGTTTCCGGGAAATGGGCGAGACAAGAGTATGACCAGAGAGCTCGAGAGCAAATACCACTCTACCCAGGCGAATGCACACTTGGTAGTTTCCCTCTGGCCTTGGGCGTTATATTGGGGTTATATTGGGATAACGGAAAATAAATGGAAACTACCATAATGGGGTTATATGGTAGTTTCCCTATATAGGGGGACCCCAATACAGACCCCAACAGATTATAATCCTTATTATGAGGACCCCCAAAAAGGTACCCCTAATTTGGGGAAACCTCCATTGAGAGCCACCATGCTGTCGTGCAAACAACTGATGACTGTCAGCTGTATAACACGCTCATGTGGTTAGTTGTCAAAATTATAGTCCCTTTTTGGGTACCCTAAATATTAGGTGCCGTAGTATAATAGGGACCCCAAAAAGGGACCATAATTTTCACAACCACGCATGTGCCTCAACGACAATCTTGGCACGATCATCGTCGAGACGGTTCTCGCTGCAGTCCAGGTCTTTGAGACCAGGAGCTTTCCGAAGACACCTGGGTACAAATGGGTGGTTGTCAAGATTATGGTCCCTTTTTGGATCCTTACTATAATACGGCACCTAAGATTTAGGGTACCCAAAAAGGAACCATAATTTTGACAACCACCCAAATGCCTAGCTATCAAGCTGCCGGTGTAACAAGCATAGCACATCAGAAGCAGCGGAACCCGAGTGACAGACTCCACCATTTCCGGCGTGACCAAGTTTGCAGCAAATGCATGACCTCCCAGTTTGGAGCAGGCAAGTGTGAATGTCATGGAACGCTGATTTCTCCACTTCGCTTTCCCAGCCTACAGTGGCAGGAATAATCATTCTGGAGATGTTGAGCACCTCCCATCTTTTGGAACCTGCAAGGACTACAAATGCCTTTCTGTCTTGCAGCAAGCAAGTGGTCTGAAAGCGGAATTTGCGGAGCCGCTGTCTGTTCAGGGAATCCAAATAGGGATGGCTCCGGGATGACGATCCCAACTACAGCACCACAGGGAACCCTGATCTGTCATGGAAAGTAGGTTCACCCAAAGCATCCCACAGAAATGTTCCTCTGAGCCCTCTGCTTTTGACAGCGGAGAAAAGGACAGTGATATCCACGACTCCTGCGAGAAAAGACCACCCAGGCCCCCCAGTACTGATAGTCTCAGCACAACCCCCTCTGCCGCGCACCTATTGGATTCATGCCCAGGTCAAGCTCGTTGATCCACTCGTGGCACTTCAAGAGCTTCTGGAGACCTGAAGCAAGCGCCACAGCAGCAAAGCATCGACCCATCACAACCAACCGAGGCCCAGTCCATCCTTCGTGCACCTAACGTTACGAAGACGCAGGGAGACCTGCCAAATCTGAAATCTGTATAACCCCATATATTCCCTTATAACACCTATACAACCCCTATATAACCCCTATAAAACTCCCATATAACCGCTATATAACCCCTATATTGTCAAACCCAGCTCACATCAGCTCACAAGCTGACCCACAGGTCTCCACTTATCCTTTTCTCGGGCAGCTCAGGCTGCGACGCATATTGCCACATGAGCGGCGATAGCCTTCAGGGTTTACGCCGGTACGCTGTGGACATGGCAAACATCTGGTACAAATGGTATAAAGACATCAACATCATTGGCTTAAAAAGAAAAAAAAGCACCTATGCTGCTTCAAAACAAGGGCATCTGCTCAAGCCTTCCCGCGCAGCACAGCTTCTGTTTACTCGTAAGCTGAGGGCCAGAGCTCAGAGCTTGAGGGTGGCCCAGTTTCAACGCACTCGCATGTATTCCGTAGTCAGGAATCAACTGGGATGCCCATATCTCTGACTAGTCTTAGCATCCGGTTTCAGCATGAGAAACCCATAGAGCTGGCCTCCACGCCCGCATCCTGCCGAAGCAGGTATAAATGGCTCCAGCCACCATCCCGCCGAAGAAATGAACTCACAGCAAACGCAATGCCCAGCCTCTAAGAGATTGTGCGAAAGATCCAGCACAGGCACACAAGCACCTGACAATCAGTCAAGTCCCAGCAGTCAGGGCACGAAGCGTTAACCTGGACACAAGCAGTCATGCCCCTGATCACTTCAACGGTCAGCATGCAAAGGGCCCCAAGAAGTGGGTTGCACGAACAAACGTCAAATGAAGTCACGGAGCAACACGTACACGGAATACAGGTTTTTGAGTTGGATTGCTGAACACGTGCGGCAAGGACCCAATCCGAGAAATGCTACGCAGTCCGTCTGCTCGGAACGTTCATGCATATCCCTTCTCAAAAGCCTCACACAACCGCAAGGACTCGTAGACCCATGGTGTGTGTCAAACAACAGCCTGCTGCAGCCCACCTGGAGTGGCGCTTTTGCAACTGTGCTGTTCAATCACCTTTGCCTGCAACGGGAGGTCTCTGGCTCGAAGCACGGCTTTGCAAGAATGTGCACATGAGTGACTTCATACAAGCAGCACTAGCATGTTTTTTTTTCTGTGCGGGCGGGTATACGGCTCCTTCCTCCAGCCCTTCTGTTGATGCAGGAGGCTCACCCAAACTCTCTGGCCACAGAAACGCTGCTTAGGGAAGTCACGCGCAGATGCTTAAAAAAAAAAAACTCTTGTGGCATCAGTGAATCAGCGGTTCTCGGTGGCTCAGAGCAGGTGCGCGGTCTTTACAAGCGCAGTGGGTTAAGAACAGTCCTCTTACTGGACATGCTCCACCCCCCCAAGCCAAGGATTGAATTATCGCTTTGCTTGCGGGCACTTGTACTCGGATTGAATTTTAATCGCTTGCCGTCTTGCTGTTGGTGTGGCCTGTTTTGTTATGCCAACGATCATGAAAATAGCCGTGAAACCAATGTACCTGAGATTAAAGTAAGAATGACAACTTTAAGTGATGTGTATGGTAACAATCAGGAAAAAACAGAACACAAGTCCTAGCGCAACTAGCAAACCACTCCCGCAAACAGCAGAAAAATGACAAAGGAGGAAATTAATTCTTCGACACGAGCTTTAAAAAGACTAGCAAGAAAAGGACATCATTCCCATTCTCAGACATGACCAGGTCAATGATGTCAGCAATGCGGCGACTCGAAAAGCTGGTATGGGTACAAAACACAACAAGAAAGCCAGGAATATCTATCAGAGTTATTCCGGCAGCTGGACTAGCACTGCAGTAACAACTAAAGCGCAAGGAGAATCAATCGCAATGGAAAAGCAACAAACAATAAAAGTAGCAGCAGTCGTTGCTGGAGTTGCAGCAGCAAAGCGCGGCAATTGTAACATAAATGAGAGGACAGAAAACCAACACACACACACACACAAATAATGTGCTAAAAAGGAAAAGAATATTATGGAGCTTGTACTCTTCGGACATTGAACGAACAGCCTGCCTATGCCCTGTCAATCCTAGTGAGCGAAATCTTTCAATCCAGAAAATGACTTGGGTCTGTACTCAGCACAACTGAGCACATCAAAAGCCAGATGGGTAAGTCCTCCTCACATTCGCAGGTGACATGCGCGCGGTCCCAGAATCTGAAGCTGTGAAGTTGCTCTGCCAAAGAACTATCCCAACACTAGCTTTAACTGAATGTTGAACAGAGCGATGCCTCTACAATTTCTTCCACCCCAGACACAAAAGATTGGGATTTCATTGAGCTTGCTCAATCCCGTCTGCAGATCGCAGAGCCACTGGTCGATGCTAAGCTGTCGTATCAACAGGCTGTGCAAGCTTGTTCTTGCCTAGCTCTGACGGTTCACACGAAAACCACCTTGCCACACCGGGCACTTTTCTACACCAAAAGACACTACTTGCAAGCTGCCGGCAAAAACAAGGGGGCAACGTGCATCACTAGAGTCCCAACTTAAAGGCTGGCCTCTGGCAGCCACTTATGAAATTTCTCATCTTGAGGTAGGTGATACTGCTCTGGCATGTGCAGCGCAATTGCCTCAGGTTGATTGTCACCCTGAGGAAACAACTGAAGGAGTCTCTCGACCTGAGGCAGCAAGTTCGTGCGCAATGACTCCTGAAGTCTGAGGCAGCCTGCAACTGGCACATTTGAGCCAAGGCACGCTGCATACCCAGAAAACCCGAGGCATGCAGAGGTTGGCAGTTGTTGATTCCTTGCTGGCTACTTCTTGTCGCGAAGTCGGAGAGACGATAAGTCCACATAGACAGCGATCGGGCACGGAGCACGGCCTTGTGCAGACCTTTTTGGCTCTGCGTCTCTGTCCTTCTTCTTTGATTGGCTTTGTGTAGGAGTTCGGGATTGCAACAATGTTGGTCCTGCCATACACATAGGTGGTTGCAAGCCAGGTGAAACTGGAGCCATTGGCACACCGCTTGGCATATTCGGAGGATATGGCATGAACGGAGCCCCCATTCCAGGTTGCACACACATCTGTGGATGCATAATCTGAGCCTGTCTCTGGTTCTGTGAGGGGCGCTGCGGCTGTTCCTGTTGAGACTGCTGTGCTCGAGCCTGTGGCATGTGCTGAGCATTGTGCTGAGCATCATGCCCTACCTGCGACGGACGTCCGTCAGAGCCCATAGCTCCGGAGCTTGAGCTGTTGAAGAACGAGGCGGGGCCATCGAAGTATGCTGCCATTGGCGAGAGAACGGAGCTTGCTGCCGGAACTGCCGGGTTATAGTTGCCACCGTCTGGGTTGAAGAAAGCCTTGGTGTGAAGGGCTGAAATCCATCTAGTATCTACCCCCTTTGGTTAGCTGGGAATTCAGGAAAGGAAACGAAAATGGAAACTACTACCATTATGGGTTTTCTAGGGACTACTATAAGGATCCATTCTTTCATTCCTAGCTACCCAAAGGCCAGTCCAATGGTCCTACGGGTCAACAGTCAGGAAATGGAAGAACCCCCGACCCCATGGCGTAGCAAGCTTTGGGAGTCATTCTTGATATTATTGCTATAGCTACTATTCTTGCTATTACTACCATTTTTACCTATACTACGATCATTGCTACTATTACTACCATTACTAATATTGCTATTCTAACTGTTTATGAAATCCTCATCCATGTAGCATCTGAAGGTGATTGCGGCGGCTGTGGCTGTGGCTGCGGGTCATCTCGAGTGCGAATCGGCAGGGAGATCCTGAAGGCCAGGAATCCAACACCTGGACCCAACAATAATACAGGATAAAAAATATAACAAATAAACAAAAAAAAACTAACTAGCAAAAGAAATAGTAGGTATAAGAATAGTAGGAATAAGAATAACAACAAGAATCATCAAAGTAGTATCATAACGGTACATGGAAAAATCTCGAACGCAGGACTTGCCGGGCTGTGGTACTGATGTTTTCCAACAAGGCAGGTCCTCTGCTGCATGAATTGCCGGAGTGATTGGCACAGGCAAACAAAAATTGGATTCTGAGCCAAGGATGCGCTTGAACGCAGAAAATGTACTGCTTGTTGGTGGGGAGTATGGGAATATAATCCCTATATCGTCCCCATAAAGTAGATTCCCTTATTCCCTACTAACAAGCAGTAAGAAAATTGACAGGAAAGCATCTGCTTCGAGGTCTCTGTAGAGCTCAATGACTTTGGCTTTCTAAAACTATCTGTCAACACGCACAGGCCTCGCCCTTGGAATCCCACTGGCCAAGGAAGGCACACGCGACATGACCAACAGAGGCAGCAGTCACTCGCGTGCCTGGGGGAAGCTACACCAAATGCGTTGCAGACTTTGTGAAGTGTCCGGCAGGGTCAGGCAGTCCGCATCTTTAAAGGGATGTCAGCGTCAGACACCCTAAACCCTAAACCCTAAACGCTACACTGCAGGGCCGTCTGACACGGTACCTTTCTTCCCACAAGGTTTTGTGGAAAAGTTCGGGCTCCCCGTGTAGGGTCCAGACCGCTCAAATCCAAAAACTTGACAGCAGTGGCGCCGTCCTGAGGTGCTGTGATACAACTCCAGTTAGCTCCACTCCCCTGATTGCCAGTTGCAGGCCTGCTTTCGGATTTCCAGGTAGGAGGCCAAGGACACGGCTCCTCAGCAAATCAGGTCTGACTGAGGCCAGCAGCCTACAGTCAGTGGCACTGGCCTGCCATTTTAGCACTTCAACCCTCCCTGGGCTGCCACCGTCGTCTCCAATGGCATTGTTTGAGAGGATCAGGGTATGCAGGTGCCTGGCACTTTGCGGCACTGCACACATGCTGACAAAATGCTGGTGGTTGGGCCTGCAATGGAACACGAAGATGCTCAGCCTCAGCCACATCTCAGGGTGTGGTCGGCAATGGTAAACGCATACGGCACTCGTGCAAAGGGTGCTGGGCAGCGGCAAAAGGATGAGGAAAGGAGAGCGGAGCGCGGAAAAAACAGAGAAAGATGACGAAGCCGTGATGAGATCAATGCGCTGGGGAGGGAACTTGTATGCAACAGGATTATAACTGCAAACAGTGTCCGAGCAAAGCCTCAGAATCTGAGAAACGGGCAACTGCGCAACTTCTGGCTTTACCTTTTTTGAGACAAGATCGATCTCCTCACACCTGACAGGAAACAGTGGAATGCATCAGAAAGCTTCCTCTCACAGTCAAACACTCTCCAGCCTCTGCTGCAATCGCCTGTCCTCGTTCCACTTTTGTACAGTCTCCAGCCCAACGGCCTGGCATGGAAACGTCAGGCGACAAACCCATCCACGACAAGAAGCTGCGAGTTGGCAGGTTCTCTGCGACCCTGTTTGACAGCATTGCTGGGTTGCTGTTAAGGAACTTAAATTAAGTAACTATATTGGGGAAACCCTATTACTAGTATTTACTATATATATATATATACCCATTATGGTAACTTAATTTAAGTTCCTTAACAGCAACCCAGATTATTGTCCTACAGGCGACATCCCATCCCGTCTTCGCGACGCTGATCACAGCTGCCTCGCCGTCATATCGCAGAATGCGCATGGCTGATGCTCGAAATGGAGCAGAGAAAGAGTTCAAAATATCAGAAAATGTCATCACAACATGATGTGTGCTTCGGAGTTGTATGTTCGTCAGGTGCTGAAATGAGGAAGCAGCCTTCCTCAGAAAGAGTCTGAGCCAGGCAGCCGTGAGTGCAGTTCAGGAATTGCTTGTGGTAACTGTGCTCGTCACCAGCAATCTTTGCACAGTGTTGCCGCAGGAACGGAGCACCTTTTGCGAAACGAGATGCAAGATGGTAAAGATGAAAGCGCGAGTTGCCACATGCTTGTCTTGTGCATGGAGCAAGTGGTACTGAGCGCAACCTGCAAACTAAAGAAAGGAAGTTGCCTGATCCACGAAGCGATTGAATCACTACGAGTACGGTCATAACAATCACATCCAAGCGTTATTGCAGGACATTTCCGCAAAACCACAAGCGGGTGTCCTACAATTCTACTCGGCGTGGTCGGAACATTGTCTGGGCTCTGACTCCCAGAAATGCTTGGCTTCATCCTTCTCAAAGAAGCTCGAGGTCCTAGTCGGAGGGCCACAGCACTGAGAACAACAGCAGAGATCTGCTCTGGTGCCTTGGCTCGCAGCTGATCCTTGTCAGCTTGGAACGCCGTAAAAGCCACGAACTGCCCGGCCTCAAGCGAACACGCTGCGACAATATTGCAGGTGAATCACACGCGGCACCTGGCAGCTTTGCGGCGCATATGTGGCCAATAAAAACACATCTCTGGGATGACCAAGCTTTGCCAACTCCTGCAGTGGCGGGATGTTGCACCAACTCGTGGAATACACAAAAGCTGAGTACCATAAGCAAACAGAGGCGTAGTACTTATGCTAAAGGTGTGGCAAGAGGCCTAAAAAAGGAAGAGGGATAGGCAGGCAATGCCGCTCTTTGCATCCCGGGCAAAGACAGCAGCCCGTTTGCGCAAACGATACTTTCATAGATGGAGACTGGAGCATTCGTCGGAGCAGAGGGGCAAAAGTAAGGCTAGAACCAACCGGTTGTGCCAGTTGATACTCAGAACCATGCACGAAACACTCGCTGGCCTCACTCTCAATGAAACCAAATCCTCTTTCGAAACTGAAATTCTTGATCCTGAGCAGGCTTACATACAATCTGTTCTGCAACACATTGCCACATCGGCAGAAAACACCAAGCAACAATGGGGACAAGCGGCTGTCCGGTGAAGCGGCCAAGCTCCGCATTCGACTCCTCACGGACGATACGGGACAATACTAACAAGGATCAGTTGGGGTTTAGGGTTTAGGGATCCATTGGAAACACTTTCTGACATCAAGAATAACGCTCCTTCCATTTCCGCTTGGTGCCATAGCCTTGAGCAAGCCCACATGGACAAACTCTGCTGCTTGGTAGCACTCTCATGCCAAAATGTCAGAAAACTCAGATGCAAAGAGCCTGAGTATGGATGTTCAAGATTCGCTAAGCCAAAGAAGGCTTCACCACAGCCGCTCAGCATCGTGCTTTGTGCGGCCTCCACCAGCCTGAACTCCAGCTACCCTGTTATATTATGATATAAATCGAAAATAATTGTAGTTATATTATAACTACAATTATCTTACAATTATAGATATATGATAACTATATCATTTGTAGATATATTATAGTATAACTATATTTTTACATTTATATTATAGTAGTTTCCATTGAATTTTCCATCATCTCAAAATCCCCTCCATGCATACCACAATATACGCGATGCTGCACAAAGGCGTGTTCCATTCACTGGGCAAAGGCTGCGACATTCCATCCATGGGTTGAACGTCGTACCTTTGCTACTGCTCTCGCATGCAACCTTGCAATCTGGCCTAAATGTGTGGATGGCTAGGAGATGGCAGGCCCAAATGCACCCACGCACAAGGACCTGGCGCTTGAGGTTTGTTGTCCTGCCGTTCAACATGTAGACTTAAGGGCTAACAGCTCGCAGCATTAAGCAAACAGGATTTGCTCAGAGCACACATCCATCCTTGCTCAGAAACACAGCAAAGGTCACGGGCATCCTGTGCAATTCCCGCAATGAATCTGTGCGGTCACTGAGGCATGCTGACCGAAGTAGCTGAAAAAGCTGGTCCCTGGCACCAGTGCTGTAGCAAAGGGACCCATCTGCGTCACATGCCTGAGACTCACATTCTTCATCCACAAGGGGATTTGAACGGAGTGCCACACCTTTTAATTTCAAGCCCAGGCACACAAAAACGTCGGTCCCAAACACCTTTCAGGAAGTGTGGTGCTGCATGCACGTTACGAAACGAGATGTAACATGGCATGACTTTGGGTCATGCCATACTACCAGTCATGCTCATGCGACAGGACAGCCTGCAGGAGTTCTGCACAAGAAATGAATCCGAAGCCATTCTTGGCCGAGAAGGATCTGCGCAACGGCGTTCAAACAGAATTTATGCTAGCCAATGGAAACTCTGGCCCACTGACAGAAGCCGAGGTGGCGGCTTTAAGGTGCCAACTGCCCGCTGTTCCTTACTTCTTACTTGACTTCAAGGTGAAAGCTCGTTCGATACAGTTGCATCCTACAGGCATTCCGGCAGTCAAGAAGATACCGGTCGGAAGCTAGCAAGTGTCTAACAAATCCTTGCAGATTGCAGCCCAAAGTCACAGATACTCCGTGCTGGAGCATAGGTCCTGGTCAAACGCTGATGGCAAGTACGAGTAGTGCTGTTGCTGACCATGGTGGCAACTTTGATAGGGAGAACTGGCCACGAAGGAAGATACAAAAATGTGAGGACACCCCATGCCCAAAGAGGCATTGTGCAAGGTTGAACCGTGAAGACTGAACCTCGGAAGTTGCAACTTCCTGGATGTCTCCGGCTGCCTATGACTTTGCTCTCTGTATGGGCGAACGAGGCACGGCCGAAACACTCTATGCAAGTTAAGCTGACTTATGTTGATCCGACACAGGCGCTCGCACGCACGGTTCGCAAATGGTAGGTGCCAGGCAGGTCTGGACAAGCAAAGCCAACAATCGACCTGACAACGTCAATTCGTAAAGAGCTGTAAACAAATTTTGCTTCGCTTAGAAGGCTCGTTGTAGCTTCTACTTTCGCTTCTTGGCAATTGACGGTGCGATCTCTGGTCGGGATCGCAGCAAATCCTGCATCACCTCATATGACACCAAGAAAAAAGGCTGGGCAAGATAAGGAATAAAAAGA